TCACCGATATACAATAAAGAATAAGCAACAAAGTTTTGGAAAATTTGGTTTAAATGAGCAAACTATAATTGATTACATTTTAAATTTTTCAATTTCTCTACAACAGTTATCCTAAAAATCAAGTCCAGAATTAAATTCTAGAAATAAATTGAAGCCAGTGAAGAAAAATTCTGAATCCTTTTACCTTTTGTTTATGAGGCATTCTTTTCCGAGCTGACATTCTAATAATTCAATAAAGCGTCCCAGATGTGATTTTCTAAAGTCACCAAATCAAAAAATCAATCCATGGGGATTACAGATGTAAGAGACATTATCTTCTGTATTAATCCTATTTATAAATCAAGTGGCCAGCACGAAAATAATCCAAGTCAATACATAACATAAGTTATTTCTTAACTTCATCACAAAAGTTTTTATACACTTGAAATATAAGTATGATCACTTTAATGCATTCAGTATGTCTGCCCCACAGTGATGTGATAGATATTTAAAAGACTGTGACAATTTTTTTTTCTCTGCCCAGGTGAAGCAATTCCACCAACTTGTTAAATATCTACAGGTAGGGACAGGCAAACATTTCTATTGATCTATTAGATTTCTGCAAATGATTGCTGCCAATTGAGAAAAAAAATCAGATGGCATATAGTTGGAGAATTCAGTAGAATGGTGCTATTGGCACCCCGCCACAGTGAAGCATCTGTAATATACAGACTTTAATCTTTTACAAAGACAAATCCTATCTTTTTCAAATCTGCTTGGATTTTAATGCAAAAAGTTTTAAATGAAACACTTTCAGGTATCTGTAATATAAATGATAAGATCTACTTTATACATGAATGCTAGATCAAAGTGGTGAACAAATATGAAAGTCACCAGAATTTATTTCTATTCAATGAAAAATATTTCTTCTAAGACAATATTTTCTATAGCAATAATATGTTCTGCAATTAAAAATGAAAAAAGAGCAATGACATAACACGAAATTCAATATCTATTATACCTAATAGCTATTACAGAGTCTGATTACATTCTTCCTAGATACAGAATTTCTTTCTACCACTTCTCTACTTCTAATTGTAAATCTGAATCGTTGATGAACAGAATGGTGTCACAAAAACCTACCATTAAACAGTATTGACAAAATATGATAATATTTACTCAGTGAAATCAAAGATATCAAAAGACCAAGAACAACATACCAAAACAGATAGGGAGAGAGTGTTAATGGTTAACAGCCTCAAGGAAACCCCTACTCTACTGACAATAAAAAGGTCTCAGGTCTCTAAAATAATTTCCAGTGTTTATTTGCACAGTTGCTATAAATTATATGCATATATTAAAATTTTCTTCTGCTTTAATAGATTAATAAAACTTGGCATCATTAGATGAGTAAGAATTTTTTTTCCTTTCATCAACCTATTGCTACTTAAAGTTATGGTGTCTAAAAGTACATGTACTGCTTTCTTTTAAGTCCCCCCCCCCCCCCCAAATGTATCTAGATCTTACTATCAACATTTTGATGGTTCATATTATACCAATTGAGAGGGAGAACTTATTAAAATGGTAAATATAGTCTTCAATTAAATTAGCACCTATACTGCTAGTGTGATGCTGAAATTTTGATTTTTACATGCTAATAATAGATCAATAAAGGCTGTAAAAGAAAAAAGGAAAAGAAAGAAATCAGACTACAGTGACTTAACCATATGTATACAATTGTATTGAAGACATCAAATAATTCAAAATCATGCCCTGATATATGGCACACCAAGCATATCCTGTTAACAATAATGCCATATTTAGTTCCCTTCATCACACTAACAATTGAAGATGGCATTATTCCATCACAATTCAAAGAAAGCATTTACACAGAACATTTACTTGAAAAATTATGAGACCTGCCAGCTATAAGTATTAATACATATTTTCACAATACAAGAATTAATACATTTATAGGCAAAGAAGCATAAAATATAGGGAGAAATGTCAAACCTCTTCCATGCAACTAGAAATTGATGAGTTGAAACTTTTAATGTTGAGTTTTCACAACTTACTATTTAAAGGAGTATATCCAAATGCTTTTACACTCTTCAAAAATCTAAGTCCACCTGAAGACTTGTGTTTACACGATGCACAATTTCAATCCAACTTTCCTCTATGCAAACACCAGCTTTTTATACCACAATGCACTTCATTATATACCAAAATCCCCCTATTGACGCATTGTACGTGACTTAAGAGATTGCTAAATGGAATTTTATCTAAGAAGGATTCATGAAGTTCAAACCAAAAATTCTACAATTTGATAAATATATAAAAGCTTCCCCTGAGGCACACTATACTGTTATCATAATGGTGTATGAACCTTTTGCAAAAGTCAACAAAACCAGCAGCTGTTATCAATGGCGACAATTCCAATCATTGACTTCCATAAACTTTATTACACTAAAATTCTAAAAGAAGCTAACTCTTCAATCTGAAATAGATGAAGATTAATTTGAAAAACAACTACATAATCAGATTTTGTTTTTGCCAGAAACTTGGTCGCACAAATAGACTAAGGTGTAAGACTAAGTGTGAAATTCTTTTATTTTGATTCTTAAACCTCCATTCCTTCCACATGAACAAATAGGAAATGGTTCTGTTATTCAATGAATAGCATTTTTAGGGCTAGGTCATTTTGGGCCTCAGTTTTCAAAAACTGACTCATAACATTGCCTCATGCTAAGATATCATATTTAAACTTCTCTTATAGAGCCAAAAATTAATGGTTTTGTAATTAGTTCTGTAGTCAGAATAAAATTCAAACACACGCATCATCAAAGAAAATTAAAATAGTTCATAATTTCTATTCTGCACTGAAAATAACTGCCTAAATTTATATCAAAATGTTATAATGTATAAAGAAAATAATTTTCTTTGGTACAGTAACTGGGTGTCTTTGGTTGTTATTAAAGCTATACTTTTCAAACCATACAATGATAAATACAATATCATATGACAAAAAGCAATTAAAATTTTGCTGATAAAGAACCATTAACACTGAATTGTATAGCAAGACAGAAATGCTAAATCTTAAACATGTAATCTCTATAATATTTATAAAACACGTCCTTTTGAAAAAAAAAATCCCAAACTTGCACATGAAGTATATTTTATGGATTTTTTTTATCCTTGAAAAGTTTCAATTTAATAACTGTATATTCTGTCAATAGTTTAAGGTAAGTTAAACTTGGTACCTATGTCCTGCCAATACCTAAAACTTTGTTAAAGTCTTTCCCCCTCCACTAAATAACCTATTCACGCTGAAGATCAATAGTTTATTATTACTCCCTGGCTATCATCACATTCCAATATTCTACTTGACCCTTCATCAGGGAATGGACTGCCACTTCAAAATCTCTTAACAACATAGTGTTCTGTGTAACAATTGGTAGTTTGCAATTTTCTCTGTCATAGTTCAGATCAACACCAAATACTCAACAGTACTGATATTATTCTCATTTTTATCTCTCAATCATTCTACATTACTATATAAAGTCTGTAGTTTTAGTTATGGCATTCTATCACTTGTAGTGATTGCATGAATGTATATTTTCAGAATAAACAGGCAAGGTATACTTTAAATACATAGGAATTTTTTGCCCAATAATTCATCTTTTAAAATCAATAAATCGTAAAACTTTTACATGGAGCAATTGATATTTTTGCTGAAGATCACCTTGGTTCTCAAGATTTATGATCTGACTTTAATACTATGATTATCTTGACTTGAAGTGCCTTGTTAGGATCTGTGGTAGATTATTTCACACTTGCGACTTCTTAGTGGGGGAACCATATCTTCACTATAAGAATTCTAGTTCTACAAACACACCTAAAACAGACCAAGTTTCAGAATAAACACTGTATCGATTAATCCATGCTTACTTTTCACATAAAGCACATCAATGTAGGTATGTCATCCTTTAATCCATATTGCTCACTTGTGTACTGCATTTTAGTTTACTATTTCAAGTTTAAAACCTCTCTCATGATTTCTCATAAAGATGCATAAATATGCAATTCCTGCACAGTATTTTGAAACAAAACTTTTAACTTATTTGAACTAATGGATATGTTTTTTTTTTTTGGACAGAAATTGAAAATGTTCATTTTAACACACATGGTATGCATGCGTGCATGGTTAGTCTACATGGCGAGCTGGACTGTATAAAGTATCAGCTCACTATGAGAATACATTCACTATGATGTACATGTATTAGTTCAAAATTCAAAATAGAACAGTTAGTAAAAAAAAAATCTGTAAGAACTTTTCTTTCATGCATTCATTTAATTCATTCATTCATTAAATTAATACTCACTGTGTATAAAAGCACAAATATACCTGAAAATATAACAAACAAAAACAAACTCTCCCTTAGTACATATATAAATACATAGTAATCAGTAATCCAATCAAAAATTAATCAAAAAGGATCAAAAACTTATAGCTTTTGTATTATTCACAAATTAAATCATATATTGCACACTCATAATGTAATTAATAGTGCTGTGTGATATTCCGGTTAACCGGTGAATCCCTATTTCCTTGTTCACCATATGTGTATTGTGGTATTTTTTTGTGAAACCAGTTCAATGTTATAAAGAGTTACTTGCCCTTGTTCAAGTAAAACGATGCAGTATTAGAAACAAAATTCAAGTTAATTAAAGCTGTATCTGACCATTGCAACTATACTATTAAAAATGGCCAGACAAACTCAGCTAGCCACAAGCGCCGGCACCATGCAGCCAGGCAATATTGATATCAACTTGAGAACACATGATATTTGCATTTGTGTTTGCATATAAGAGGAAAAAAAAGCGAAAATGAATATGAATTTAATATTGTGATATAATGCAATACAAAATTTAAAAGTGCAACATATCACAATACAATTTTTAGTTGCGATACCCAGCACTAGTAATCAAAGACACATTTCAAATTGAATCCCCCCCCCCAATACATGTATACATGCATGACCTTTATATAATCAAATTAAATGGCTCTTATGATCATTATAAAGAACATATGAAATTTTTACCAGCAGGTCTACCTACGTAGAACTTTATTAGATGTATGTACCTATAACGAAATATCATACTTGAACACTAAGAAATCAACTGAAACTCCAATTTGACTTTGCTGGATTCTTGTCTTCTTTACACTGGTATTCTATAGAGCAGCTATATAAATCAGTGAAATATATATTAAAAGTCAACAGAGAACACATCACCATTCAGTCTTTAAATGCAAATGGTATGATGATATCATTCATGATATCATTCAAACAGAACCGAACTAATCATTGTCTTATCACAGCTTGATTGATATATTTTTCCCAATGTTTCCAGATACCTGGATCCAGTGGCATCTGGATTGGGAATCTGGAGGGAAGAGTTTTTATCAGGTGCTCCTGTCTGGTTTAAGAATATGAAGGGTACAGCTTGATCAGGTGCACCTGTCTCGATTTAAATCTGGAAGATACAATTTGATCAGGTGCTCTTGTCTGGATTAGGAATCTGGAGGATACAGTTTTATCAGGTGCTCCTGTCTGGATGGGTAACTGGTGACTGGACAACATCTGTGCTGCTTGATGTAATCATAGATACAGGGATAACAGAAGACAAACCTGTGAAAAGAAAACACTCTCAAAAATAATAAACATATATGCATATACACATGATCCCCTTCAGATACTGATGATAACTGTCAATACAATTTCAATGAAGCCATTTATTAAATTTACTAGAAACCAATTGCAAATTTTATCTGATTAAATCCTACGGCATTTCTTTTTATTAACACAATACAGATTATACTTCTTATTTGGATTCTTTTCAATATGGAGGAGGTAGTAGACACCTTACCCTGATGTAGACAGTGCTGTATGATTCGTACGAACTTTCAGACACAATGGACAAATATCATGTGAGGTCTTTATCAAATCTCTGTCAGTCTGAAAATATGTGGATATTTGATAAACATTGTGCATACAGATTGGAGATAAAAAAAAATTTAATATTGTGTATATTGCAATGTTTGTTTATGCAATATCATTTTTAATAATAGATTTGCACCCAAAGATCAAATCTAAATAATTATTGAGAAGAGTATAAAATTAGACGCCCATGGGCCTTCTTGTTCATCAGCAGATTTTTTGCCCTATATACATGTATTCCTATGTAAAAGTTTTATCACCCACCATAGCTCTGCCCTAGGGGTCATGTTTTGAAAAAATTTGAATCTACACTACCTGAGAATGCTTCCATAAGAATATGACTTATAAAGGCTTTACTGTTCTTGAAAAGAATTTAAGAGACTTTTTGTATGTATTCTTATTGCCTTATTGTGTCCCCACCCTACCCCCTGGGGTCATGATTTGAACAAACTAAATTCTACACTACCTGAGAACACGACTAATCAGGGCTTTTCTGTTTTTGAGAAGATTTTTAAAAAGAGGGCTTATATAGGTTATGCCTGCTGCCCAAAATGTTTATGTTTCAGGACATAATAAAATATATGTTCAAATCAAGATTTTTACGGAGCTACTTCCTATGTTTTCCTATGTAATACTTTGATTGCCCATTGTGGCCTCAAGCTACCTACAGAGGTCATTATTTGGAAAAAAAAACTTGAAGCTACACTACCTGAGGAAGCTTCTCTATAGACAGATCATTTAAAAAAAAATTTCTTATGTAAAACTTTGATTTCCAGTCCTAATCTTACACACATACTTTAAATGTGATTTTTCAGGTGAATATTCATTTTTAATAATGGAATTAAGCACGAAATGTATATTGTCATTACATTTATTAATTCTATGTGCCCCAGAATACCCCAAGGGGGTCATTATTTAAACTTGAATCTACACTACCTGAGAATGTTTCCTTATAAGTTTCATCTTCTCTGACCCAGTGGTTCTTGAGAAAAAGATTTTTAAATATTTTTACTATGTATTCCTATATAAAATTTTGCTCATCCATTATGGCCCCACCCTACCCCCGGGGGTAATGATTTGAACAAATTTGAATTTACACTACCTGAGGATGCTTCCATATAGACATGACTGATCATAACTTTTGTTGTTCTCGAGAAGAAGATTTTTAAGACTTTTTCCTATGTATTCTTATGTAAAACTTTGATTGCCCACTGTGGCCTTTCTTACCCCTGCAGGTCATGACTTGAGCATACATCAATCTACACTACCTGAATTTGTTTCCATGTATGTTTCATCTTTTTTGACCCCGTGGTTCTTGAGAAGAAAATTTTTGAAAGATGCCATTAATTTTCCACTAATTCTTAATTATCTCCCCTTAGAAGGTGTGGCCCTTCATTTGAACAAATTTGAATCCCCTTCACCCAAGAATGCTTTGTGGCAAGTTTGATTGAAACTGGCCAAAGGTTCTTGAAAAGAAGTTGAAAATGTGAAAAGTTTACAGACAGATGGACACTTGTCAAAATGTGAACAGAAAAGCTCACTTGAGCCTTCAGTTCAGGTGAGCTAGAATATAAAATAAGTAATCTATAAAATACTTCCTTATACCTTTTTGAATAGTTTTAACTTTTGAAATGCAGAGGAGACAATACAAAAGATAAGTGTGACTTTTGACCATCAAAATTTTTCATAATTCAAACCTTTGGAGGATCGGGGATAGGCAGTGCCATGAGTGAAGGTGTATTGTTATCACTGGCATACCACCACTCCAAGAACTGGAGGAAAAACACCCCTACAGACAGACCTGTAGACAAGGTGACAGCTGTGACACTCACGGCTTTTCTTGTGGCTAGGTTTAGCTTCCCTGATAAACTACAAGAAAATTCTCAACAGATAAAATGTGTTAAGGGAGATAACTCTGTTATTTTTAAATGTTTTGCATTATGAATTAATGATTCAGAGAGAAAACAACTTTTTTTTTAAATTGTAATGTAAGTTTACATAGTTTGATTAATTCTAAGAAGGAATGTTAATTGCCTTTCAAAAATCAAGGGAAAAAAACACACACAGCTTGTTTAAGTCTTTCTAGGAAAGGAACCTTTAAGATATTAGAAGTAAGAACTTGTTTCCAATCCTTTTGATTTTTTCAGTAAAATATGTTCAAAACAAAACATAAGTATTTTATGTACTAGCTCTTCAACAACATTGCAAATTTACATGATAATATCTTTACATATTGTCATGAAAAAGGAAAAGAACATGACGACAATACCAAAAATACCTGGAGGATGACCACTGGTCAGAAAATGACAGTCTGTCTGATTCCTCCTCCTCTTCCTCAGCATGAGACAGCTTGGTTCCAGACAGATGAAGGAGCGGAGAATGCCAGGATGTTCTACCAAACATGTAGGCTACCTGATAGGCCAGCATGCTGCCCTCCCAGCTCATGTGAATGTAAGGATATGCCGCTACAAAAACTCTATAGAGTCTCTTCATTGCCTGGTGCTACAACATGCAAATTATCAAATTGCACCATCATCGCACATAATTTGAATGATCCCTCATGTAACAATTTTTCATATAAATGAGAATACTCTAGTTCCAGTATTATAGTATTTCAAAGACATGAGAAAAAGAAATATGAGTTTATTTGTCTCTGAGTTATATATTACAAGGTTTTTCACTGAAAATTAAAATGTATTTCAGAGAACAATCAGTGAATCACTTTATAGGGCTTCGAATTTGCAAATGTATTATTTTTTCAATTATTTTTCCTTAAAACCAAATTATGAGTGTTCGAATTTACACAAATATAAATTGATTCTCTATGTTTCTTAAAGAACAATATTCAATTATGGCCAATATCTGCCCCCAAAATCAAATGTTGATGGGTAAATCTTGAAGTAACTTCTAAGCCAAAAGGATATATGCAGATTTCAAAGCATTAATCATTTTCATCCACCATGATGTCATGTTAGATACAACATAAAAAAAAATGACGTAATTTCAACAATCAAAGATTTCAAAAGACAATTGTGTATTTTACATCAATAATTTGATTGGAATATATCAAGTGCAGGTGTGCTCAGATGGCATCTTTTGATATAATGTGCAGAATAATAAAATTATTGAAATTTGTGAAAATAGTTCCTGAACAAGTTTGCACTTTATTAAAACTAAAGCCAAAATTAAACAATTTTTTTTGCATTTTTCTCTCATTTTAAAATATAATGCGAAATCACACTTATTTGTGATTTCACAGAGGCAAAAATTCCTATGTTTTTTTTTTTCTTACCAGGTAATCAATAATGCATTTAGTTAATTCAGATTTATTTTATACATTAATATACACAACTGTGCAAGTTTCTTGCGATTTTGAATATTTTGATTTTTATGGAGGCAGGGATTTTCCTTTACTGTATATAGTTCTTTGCGACTTTATTGAGATCACTTTTACAAGGTTTGTTCATGATCGAGTTCTGTCATCATGACTTTTTTACTTAACATCATATTATATCCAAATTTGGTAGAAAAGTTTTAACAATTACCAGGTAATTTGAATGATGTGTATTAAAAATTTAAAAAATATTGTGATTTACTTCAAACTTATTCTGTATCAATGCTGAATTTTCAAAATCTATTAAAATTATCAATAAAGTGAATTGAATTGAAAACTAGAACTGTCCAAAAGGGACAAATACCCCCCGCTGGGTTTTTCAGAGTTGCCAAATCACTAATATTTTATGGATCTAAGAGGTGTTCACAATTTTCTTATAAACATTTAGAGTGAAAAAATAATTGCTCGTTATATTTTTTAATGAATGAAACCAAGGAACAACCTAATAAAACATCAATACCAATACATTGTAATTACAATGTTTTTTTTTTTGAATACATTGAAAAAATAAATTGCAGCTGTCATCTTTTTGAGACATGACACTCTGCAAATTGATTGTCAAAAAAAAAATCAATTAATTACAAAATCAAATTAATCTTGATAACTTTATATCAAATTCATTTTAAAAATAAAAGGCTGTTCATCCAGTAACTATGTACTATGACAGACAATAAATTACAATTAAGAGAATTAAAGAACAGAGATCTTTAAATTCCAAGGAGATATAGATAAGACCTACTTGATCAGAGATGCCCTAACAACTTCCCACACTGAACTCATTAATTTATCTCTAACTGAATGCATGTCCACTCATTACTCCGAAGGGACAAATGGATTTACACTATCTGCTGTGTAATATAAAAATTGTTTTTAATACTTGATGATTTTTTACATTGTTGTTTTAATGAATAGTTTTAAGCTGTAATTCACATTTTTGTACAGATGTTCCAGATTCTATGTCTCAAACCTTAGAAATAAACCCAAAATGACTAAGTCAATAAAAATGAAAAAAAAAAAAACCTGTAAAATGCAGAAAAATTATCAAATAATGTTGAAAATACCAGGTGCACATCTTCATATGGTAAATAATGAGTGTACAAATTTTCATACAATTCTATGAGATAGACTTTGAGAAAAGGTCAGGACAAAACCACATAATAAATATGAAAAAAAAAAACACCTGTAAAATGCAGAAAAATTATTCTATTATGATGAAAATACCAGGTGCACACCTTCATATGGTGAATAATAAGTGTACAAATTTTCCGACAAATCTACACAATAGTTTCTGAGAAATGCTCTGGACAAAATCTCGTCTACAGACAGACGGACAGACAGATGGACATGGTGATTCCAATATACCCCCCCCTAAGCTTCGTTTGCGGGGGGTATAAAAATTGAAAGTATTTATAAAACTAATAGTTGTTGACGGGATGGGAAAATTTTGGAACGGGTAAAAAAATTATCATTTCTTGGAGGTTTAAAAAAAAAGTTTTTTTTTGAGTTGGACCATTTTTAGCCAGTCAGTTGGGAGAGGGCAAACAATTTTTTAAAGATGGCCTTACATATGATAATGTGCACATTTTAAATTTCTTGAATATAGTATAATGAAGATTGACATGGCACATGATTTTTCGAACAACCCTCATAAAGCAAAAATTCCTCAAAAAAAATACTTCTCCCCAGTTAACATTAATCTTACCTTGATAACCATTTCATATATTTTTTCCATTGTTCTTACCTTTGGTATTTGGCCTGTGTTCAGATTATGTCTCATCTCTTCAAACCAGTGATCTAACTTCAGTTTCAGGTAGGGTAAAATTACCTGTTTGAATAGATACAAGTCAGTTTTAATACCTGTATCATGAATCAAATGCTCTGTAGTAGTATGTCAGTTTTTTTGTTTTTTTTTTTTTCTGGCAGTCTATAATAATTCTCTATATAGCTTGGTAAGGTTATTGTCATTGGTTGTAAACAGATCCATTTACATGCTTTTTGAATTCATGGTTTTCTGCCCTTATCATTATTTATTAACTTTAATTTCACTACACTGTTTATTTTCTTTCTAAGTATCATAGCCATGTACTGCAACCAAAATTTTGCCATTCTTTTAATATTTTCGCTAGTCACTAAATGAAATACTTTAAAAATTTGTCATAGTGCAGTAAATCCCCTTTAAAACCAATAATATGATATTCCCTACTAGTTTTCTGTTACATAATTCTCTGTGTTGTTGAGCACAAATAAACTCTGCCATTAAAAATTAAATTGAATTATATCATAAATCATTCGCAAAAACTTTTTTATTTTTGCATAATTACATTAGACCGTCTGCTTGCAGAGATTTCATTCTCACACATATTTATCATCATTTAAGATTATATACAACAATAACAGAATCTGTGAAAATTTTGTTACAAATACAAAATAATAAGGTGTCATGAAAATTTGGGGATCTTAAGTATTCAAAGGTGAATAATGCACATACCAAGCATACAAGTGATTTCCAATGGGCTCTTCTTGATAAGTTCTTAGAGTGTGAATCTCCATTTACATATCTTCTTAAGCCATAGAAATTTTCAGCAAAAGATGCACCTAAATCAATATGATTGCAATTTATAAGAATTATTTAATAATGCTGTTTTCAATATACAATTTTTTACAGCAAAAGAACTAATATCTTTATGCTCATGTGTTGTATTTTGACCATATAAATAAGGTCGATGCTGGACTCAAGGGGGGATTTTTCATTGTAGAGCTCTATAGGTCCTAAAAATAATCTCACACAAGAAATATTATTCCGGGTTAATATGATTAACCAATCTATTTTAAGCAGGTTATAATGAAGGATTTTTGATCAATGATCAATACAACGGTATATAAAGTACCAAAAAATTGCACAACTGCCATCACTCCATTTCCATTTATGTTAACTAAAGGAGCACTTCAATACCCTGGGAAAAAATATTACTCAGGATACTTTATTTTCTATCTTAGTGTAAGTTTGAAGAGATTATATCTAGTGCAGGCATCTGATAAAGTGAAAACCACTACTATAACAAACAAAATAGATCAGTAAACACTAACATTAACTGTTTAAATATAACTCAAGACAAGTACCGGTAAATCAGGATGTTTTTCTAACAGTGTTCAAAACTGTAAGAAGTGCTTTGTATTAAAAGCTTCTTAAAATCAATTGTACATTAAAACTACATGTAAGCAAACTATATTAAAACTAATTTAGTAAAGTATAGCTGCAATAATGTAACCCTCTCCGATTTTTTTTTTTATCTGATGTATTTGGGAGAGGCCTCTCCCCAAAAAAAAATGAAGAGGGCTACATTATTGCAGTAAAGTAAAGTATAAAACATACTGTATTTGTGAAGATAATAGTTCTGAAGAATGAAATCCAGTCCTGTATATATTTCATCATACCATCTCAAAAGAAAACCAAACTTTTCAGGTCTATTTTCAGCAAGTACCTACAAATTTGATATACAAAAACATTTTTTTATTAAGAAAACAAAAACATGCAAATAATAATTAGCAAAGGATTTGAACAAGTTGGGACCACTCACCAAAATGGGACATTATCCCCGAGTACCCAAACTCTGTCACCATAAGCAGAAAACATGGCGCATTGCCCTCTGAATTATTTTTAAAATTTATTTCTTGTTTGCTACATTTAATTATGAATTTAACATTGTTTTCATAACTGTTTTAAAAAAATTGCAGTTACTGGGCTTATATAAATTAAACCACTGAATAGAAAGTGTATTACATCTGTGTACATTACATCCAATTAACCCTAACTCCGTCACTGAGGCCCTCTATAAGATATCAATATATTAAATAGAAATTTGTTTCCTGATAAGTTTTTTGTCCCTTTTTCTTAAACTTGTCAATATAAAAAATAGTTTTTAAGTTATAAAATTGTATTTTAAGAAATGTATCAGACAACAGAAAAAATAAAGTTAATATAACATATTTTAAATTTAATAACGTTGTGCAAATTTTGTCTCCAATGTGTAGTGCATATGGGTTAATGTAGACAAAAAATAAAATATTTTAAGCCGTATTTAATATGGTATGTAATGTTAAACCTTTGACTTAAACCTTCATAAAAATTGCTGACATGTAAAATTAAGCATGTAGATGCACATGTGTGAGATATCTATGGAATAACACATGAAGAAAAAGGTACTTACTGATTTCACATAAAATATGATAGATTCAATAAATTAAGTGCATTGTTATTTATTTTTGACGCATTCTTGAACTTGACTGTTATAATATCTCGGCAATTGATTGTACATTTTCAGCTTGCAAAAAATGACGTCACAATCATATTCATTTACAAAAAGCACAGAGTTTTCCGAAACCGACGGAGTTTGGGTAGTGACGGAGTTAGGGTGTTTGGCGATATAGCCATTGGCCAGGGTTATATTAACCCAAATGGGATATTAATTTACATTGCATAAAATAAATAAAAAACGAAAAGCTAAAATGTTGTAAATCTGCATAGAGCAAGAACGCAAACGGGCTATTATATCCCATTTAGGCGAGTGATCTCAACCAGTTGAAGTAATGTAGTCTAGAAATCTCAGCATTTAGGCCTAAGTAGTTAATCATGAGACAATTATATCAGCTACCGGTATTAGAAAAAAAACATATACATTTAATGACTTTATTTTTTTCATAACAATTTCTGCACGTATACACTCTGAGCACATGCCCTGGAAATTTCAGGTGCCTGTGTGCTCTGAGAAATGCTTGAACAGAGAAAATTCGGTTACACAAGTTGCTTAACATTGGATTGCCTCCCTTATCATTGCTTATTTCACGCACTTTTACAGCATGTTTTAACGCTGGTCTGACACTCCCCATCAAACTGTCCTGTGCTAGAACCTCAAATATGGACGGCAATGAAACCGTGATTGCTGATGTGAGGTGTGCGGCGTTTTCAGCCATGGTCAAGATGTTTTTGCACTGTTTTTGATGTCCGCTCGCGCTCGCTTCTCAAAAATAAATGTATTCTGCCACTTCCGGCAGAAAGGTGAAGGTCATTGTCTGTCAACAAGAGGTAATACATCTCTATAATATCTGTAATCATCAGAATCCTTAGTGTATGAATTTCAATTTAAAATATCTTACTGACTGGGGAAGATATTCATTAACATAATGAGAAATATTTATGGGGATAATCGTAGCGAATTTTAATGAAAATAGGAGTTTTTGAAAGGTGTATGCACTTCCGGTTTTCTTCAGCCGGTGTAAACTGTTATTGATTACGTCTGTCAAGCACAAAAATTTGATCCAAGGGACTTGTAGGGTAAATTAACGATATATTAAATATCTCTCTAAGCTCTGAAAAGTGAAGTGTACTCTAATTATAATCTTATCATAATCGTTTCATTTTTTTAACATAACAAAAACGCCCACTTTCGAATTTTCTCAATCAACTGGATTTCAGTAGAAACATAACGTTTATATTCGTATCTCTAGTTAAATGATATACATGTACTGTGGTTGTAGATTTTTAGTAAGCTGTTCAACAAAATGTATGATTAGTTTTAGTTACATATTTACTTTTTTGCAATTTTTATTTAGATTGACACAATTTATGGAAAAAAGGAGGGGATATTTCAAATTTTGACAAAATAAATGATATACAGGTAACTCCTGATGGCTCAAACTGTGAACTCTCAAAGTTCTTGATCACTCAAAGTGAATTTCCAGTTCCAATCCCCCCTCCCCCGATATATCTAAGCAAATTTACTCTTGATATCTCAAACTCTTTATCCCCTTGATCCCTCAAAGTCAAAATGCAATTGTGCTATGCATAATCTATTTTAATTTACCCTTGATACCTTCAAGTAGCTATGTGTATGCAAGCATTACATAATTAACACCTTAAGGAGGAACAGGGTGTCTATTGAGGCGACACTTGTCCTGCAAGATGATGATTGATAATTAACAGGGGTTGAAATATATGGTAGCCTGATGCCCGGGACTAGTCATGTCAAGACTCGGGCTAGCTAATTTAAATGTTATGATAGTCCATTGGACTAGCAGAACGGAAAAAAAATTCTTGTCCGTTTACTTTTGCTTTTCTATGTAGAATGGTTTCTTTTGAATGAGAACTACATTGTAGTTTAATTTTTTTCTGTCACCATAGCATTTGAAAGTTTAATTTAACTTGTTATGTTTTCATTTTGCATAAAAAAATTTTGGGCTAGTTAGTTTGAGGTTTGGGCTAGTAATTTTTTTTCTGATCGGTAGCCCCTGGGCTAGTGGGTTTTCCAGGAAAATTTCAACCCCTGATTGATCAGATTGTTGCCTGTCTGCTCTTAAAATATTCAACATGGACTGTCTTATAATAGTTTAGATATGCAGTGGAAAGAAGAAATTGAATACAAAACACATTTTCTGAGTCAGTGTCAAAGTAAAATGAATAATGAAAATGCAGAATCTATGCATAACAGCATCAATGTTACAACTATAGCAGAACAAATACAGAACTCTGTTTGGTGTTTAATATTAATTGATACAAATAGTCTATGCTACAATGCAATGTTGTTTTCATGTATGAATGCATAATATGATCTTCTTCTTACATAGAATTAATAAATATCATGACAATATACATTTCTTGCTTAATTCCATTTTAAAAAATGTATAATTATTCACCTGAAAAATCACATTTAAAGTATGTGTGTAAGATTAGTACTGGAAATGAAAATCATAAGAAATGGTCAGACTAATTTTAAGGCTTGTCATTTAACCCAAAAAATTCTGGACTTGAAAACCTGGTCCTGTGGACTTTGAGGTATTGAGAGTTACCTTTAATATATCAGTGGCAGAAAAGGGTAGAAGAAATATTTTCTAATTTTCATTAAATTATGGTGGGTATGGCATGATAACTCTGTATGGCTCATGAATGGGGGAAGCTGGCAACATGAAAATGTTTTTCATGTATTGTAGGATTTATAAAAAGAAACGCTTTATTTTAATATTAACTTGATGTGTGCCTTGTTTGCAAAAATTTGATAAAAGAACATGTATATAATGTTAATTATATGTGTAAACAATTTCTTTTTTTCAGTGCACACTAATTTCCAGCAGACAAAATGACTGACTCCAAGTACTTTACCACCACCAAGAAAGGTAATTTATTCATTAAAGAACAGAAATAAGAGTAGTAGTCTAGTATGGTGCTAGACATTTAATACATGTTTAATATTTACTTCTTTTGCAACAGGAATGAAATCAGACTGTGTGTAGAAAAAAAATTGATTATTGAAACCTACATACATGTATATTTGTAGGTGAAGTGTTCGAACTGAAGACAGAATTGCAAAGTGATAAAAAAGAGAAGAAGAAAGAGGCTGTCAAGAAAGTGATTGCCAGCATGACTGTTGGGAAAGATGTCAGGTACAGCATTTTTGCAGTGTATAGAACCTTTCACAGTAAGAGAAGCTTTTTGGATGCTGCTAAAGTTGCCCCAAAGAACAGATTTATATTTTCACTCATTTTTATTATACCTATGCTACTACTGTGATAGTATTATGCATTTTTTCAGTGCTCTCTTCCCTGATGTGTTGAACTGCATCCAGACTGATAACTTGGAATTGAAGAAGCTGGTTTATTTGTACCTGATGAACTATGCCAAGAGTCAGCCAGATATGGCCATTATGGCTGTTAATACATTTGTCAGGGTAGGAACTGCATTTGATTCATATTTTCATTGGCTTTATTGATTTTGAAGTTGGTAAATGATGGATAGATAGTCTTAACTTTTCTAAAAAGATTTCAAGAACATTGAGCAAACATTACAATCAATGTTAGATACCTAAATGTTGTTATGTGCCCTTTAAGAGTTTACGTAAATTATGGAAGGATAAGTGTACAAATTAACAAGCTATGAAATTCTTCTAATTTCTGTTGTTATGTGCCCTTTAAGAGTTTACATAAATTATGGAAGGATTAGTGTACAAATTAACAAGCTATGAAATTCTTCTAATTTCTTTTTTGTTTTTTCAAAAGGATTGTGAAGATTCTAACCCTCTGATTCGAGCGCTGGCTGTCAGGACAATGGGTTGTATACGAGTGGACAAAATTATTGACTATCTCTGTCAGCCATTGAGAAACTGTCTGAAGGATGAGGATCCCTATGTCAGAAAGACTGCCGCTGTATGTGTAGCCAAACTACATGATATCAACGCCCAGCTGGTGGAGGATCAAGGATTTTTAGATCAGCTACGAGACATGTTGTCAGATTCCAACCCCATGGTAAGTATCTCAATTACTTTATCTTTTTTGTCATTGAAAATTGCTGCAAACAACTTCAAACTTACAGACACATGTAACTGCAGGATGGCATCAATTGTAGGTGGTAGCTAATGCAGTAGCAGCAATTTCAGAGATCCTTGAATCCTCACCTACAGCCCAGCAAGTGCTTGAAATGAATTCCAGCACTATCAACAAACTGTTGACAGCTCTTAATGAATGCACAGAGTAAGTTGTACACTGGATTGAAAGCTATCTTCAGGCTCGTAGTTCATGTATTGTGATTTAAAAGTCAAAAAGAGATTGACAATTGCCACAAGTAATCTGTTTTAATCATGTTTCTTTTTACAAGATGGGGACAAGTTTTTATCCTGGATGCCATATCAAACTTTACACCAAAAGACGACAAGGAGGCTCAAAGGTGCATTAAAACATAAATATATGTTCAGGTTTTCAATTCATAATTGATATTCAACCAACTTGTTTAATGAAGAAAGTTAAATCAATGTAAGAAATGATATGCAGATCATTAGTACAATAAAAAAAGTAGCATAATTAAAGATGCTTAGTTGTATGAATAATACATGGCTGAAATTTATGAAAGATGGTAGGAATAAATTCATTAAAAATGATAATTATTATGCTGTTAGATAAAAGATGTACTATGGTGTAAAATAAAGATATACTGATTTCAGCATCTGTGAGCGAGTGACCCCCAGACTGGCCCATGCTAATGCAGCTGTAGTTCTCTCAGCTGTCAAGGTCATCATGAAGTTCATGGAGATGTTGGAGGTCAACTCAGACTACATCTCCACCTTGGTCAAGAAACTAGCACCACCACTGGTCACTCTGTTGTCTGCTGAACCAGAAATCCAGTATGTGGCACTCAGAAACATCAACCTGGTGGTCCAGAAACGTCCAGAGATCCTGAAGAATGAGATGAAGGTTTTCTTTGTGAAATATAATGATCCAATTTATGTGAAACTGGAGAAACTGGACATCATGATTAGACTGACTTCTCAGGCCAATATTGCCCAGGTCCTGGCAGAACTCAAAGAGTGAGTGTTGTGGGATACATGTAGCTTAGGATTAAAAATGTTTTTTATCTTTGTTTACAAAAGTGGTTTTAACTATTGGATACAGTAAATAGATATAAATTGAAGCCATTAAGTTGCTGACCTAAAACGGTACAATCAGTGAGTATTAAGGGGGAACTGGAATGGAATGTTTTTGGACTAAATTTTTTTGTTGTTGTATAAAATCCAGAAATTGCATGCCTGTCCAATTTCCTTCAAGAGCCATAAGCTCTCTGGTAGATAGTAAAAAGTTATGCCTAGAAAAAAGAGCTTCAAGCTGTTTTTAAAATGAATGTATTTCAGAGATATGCCTTCATATAAAAAAGAAAAGAAAAAAATTACTGACCCTATTGTTTGTTAGCATGTAATACAAATCTAGTCATCAAGCATAACATTTTTTCTAGGAGTTAAAAGTAGGTCAATTTTCTTTTGATTATTTTTTTAAAAAGCCAATTTATATTTTTTTATATCAATACAGGTATGCTACAGAAGTCGATGTAGACTTTGTGAGGAAGTCAGTGCGAGCCATTGGGCGCTGTGCCATCAAGGTGGAGCCAGCTGCAGAGAGATGTGTCAGTACTCTACTTGACCTTATACAGACCAAGGTCAACTATGTTGTGCAAGAAGCCATTGTTGTCATCAAGGTAAAAAATGAAATATAATTTTATTGGAGGAAGTACAAGTGTACATATTTGTTTCAAATCCTAAATTAGATTTTGTTTTTAAAAGGCAAAGTTTTCTGAAAATTTTGATCAAAATGTTTATTAATTACAAATGTTTAAAGAAAAATTCTAAAAATTTCGGTCATGATTTCATTACTTCATGTAGGACATCTTCAGGAAATATCCTAACAAGTATGAAAGTATCATTGCCACACTGTGCGAAAATCTGGACACACTGGATGAACCTGAAGCAAGGTATTCTTCTAATACTAGTAATAAACACCTGAGAATATAATAAGAAAATTTGGTCTTTGTACTTTACAGTTCGTAGAATGCAGGGCTGTGTTCAATATTGTAGCACTAACCTAGTAGCTAGGTTGTGTAGATATCTATCTCTATTGAACGGACAGCTAGCCTAGCTGCTTTTGTTTGAATCTTGTGTGCTGTGAAGTGATAACTAAGGAAGCCATCTTGGATTTGGTAGTTAGCATCAAATGTTAATGCTAGCTCTCCCTACATAGCGGCTAGGCTAGTTTAACGTTCAAGATCGTAGCTTAAGGTAGAGGCTACCTAGCCGCTACACTCTTGAATGCACCCCAGCTTGGAGGAATGAAAATAACTGATTTCCTTATCTCCTGTATTTATTCAGAGCTTCAATGATCTGGATCATCGGTGAATATGCAGAGAGAATTGACAATGCAGATGAACTCTTAGAAAGTTTCCTTGAAGGATTCCAGGATGAAAACACTCAAGTAAGATGTATATTTAAGTCATATGTAGGAGATGGATCTAATGTGTATAAACCCTATTTGCTGAAAGGATCTTGCACATTGTTAAAACACAGACTCATTGAAAAATGTTTTAAGATAGAAAAAAAAATTTTTTTCTACAATCTGTCGATTTCAGTAAATTCTTTGCTCTGAAACAGAAATTAATCATGTTTACAAACGATACTTTTTACAGGTGCAACTGCAATTGTTGACAGCCATTGTGAAATTATTCTTGAAAAGACCTACAGATACACAAGATCTCGTACAGCAAGTGCTGAGTTTGGCCACCCAGGTTAATATCTATAGACAGAACAAAGATATCATAAATGTCCTTCATAATTGTATGATTCACTTGCAGAGGACAAGTTAGAAAATGATGATACAGTTTTGATACTTGTAAAAATGTTACAAGCAATGATAAATTATTAGTTGTAAATTTCATTTTATTCATACACTACAGGACAGTGATAACCCTGACCTTCGCGACCGAGGCTACATCTACTGGAGGCTTCTGTCTACTGACCCAGCTGCCGCCAAGGAGGTGGTGCTAGCAGAGAAACCACTCATCTCAGAGGAGACTGATCTCATTGAACCAACATTACTGGACGAGTTAATCTGTAATATTTCCAGTCTGGCCTCTGTGTATCATAAACCTCCGAATGCCTTTGTAGAGGGTAGTAAATCATCTTTTAGGAAAATCCTCCCACCAAGATCCCAGTCGTAAGTGTATATATACAGTGTTTGACCATTTTAATTATTCTCACAATCATATCCCTCCAACCCATCATATGTTTAACTCAACTGCTATTTCACAATATAAAAGGAACCATACTGATAAAATATAACTGCATTTAATGCTGGTCTTACAGAGGAAACATTGGGGAGGATCAACCATCTCCTCCTTCTGAGACCCCAGCAGCTCCTCCCCAGGCAACAGTCATACCAGGTGTGGACTCTCTTATTGGGGACCTCTTAGACATGGATCTTGGGGGACCTTCCATGCAGCAGCAACAAATGTACCCTCCCCAGCCCACCTCACAAACTCCAGTGCAGGGTGGGGGAAGTATGGATCTCCTTGGAGAGGGTTTGGATTCCTTGGTCAGTATACAGAATTGTTACACAAGAGTGAAATGTTATCAATTATTATAAAAGAAGAATTGATATTTTGATGTTAAAATTTGCTATTTAAATTTTCTCAAAGATTGATTAAAGGCATGATAAACAGATATTGCAATTTCATGAATTTCTGTGTACTGGTAATGTAATACTTTCGTTATTTGACTACTTGATACAGCATTGTAATGTTAGGGTCTAAGATTTATCCTTAAACAGTGGATAATCATTTTCTTCACCACTTGATGTTGAACAAGTCCATGTTCATTAAATCATTATTGATTTTAGCTTGGAGGGCCTGCCCCAGGCGGGGATTCTTTAGGAGGATTGGGGGATATATTTGGTATGCCAGCTCCACAGTCATATGTTCCTCCACAAGAAGTAAGATATTTGTTCTCTCTGTCTGGAAGCTAAACATTATTATGCTTTAAAAAGTATCTTAAATGAGTTAAATCTGCATGAATAGTCAGGTCCAAATTGCACATCATAAATCCAAATCCAAACACTGGGAATAATGCATAACACCACCACATACATGTATGTGTTCTTTAATGAGATCAATATGTAATACATTGTCATTTCTGAATATGAATTCTGTAGGTATGGTTACCAGCATCCAAGGGTAAAGGTCTGGAAGTGACCGGAACATTTCAAAGAAAGCAGGGAAGTATATACATGGAATTGACGTTTGCCAACAAAGCAATGCAGCCAATTACAGGATTAGCTATACAGTTTAACAAAAATAGGTAATAAGAAAGAGAGAAAGAGAGAGAGAGAGCAGTATTAATTGGTTTACATATACATGTATGAAGAGATATAGATTCCTGTTAATGAAATGAAACTTTGATCCATTTCTACAGTTTTGGTCTGATGCCTGCAGCCCCATTAAACATTCCTTCAGCATTACTTCCTAACCAGAGTACAAGTTACTCCTTACAGTTGAGTACCATGGGTCCAGTCCAAAGAATGGATCCACTCACAAATTTACAGGTATAGTGTACTGAGCATTCTTTCTTTAGAAACATATTAAAACTCACATTAAGACACAGATTTTGAAGACTGTGGTAATTTTGTTCAATAGTGGTTTGATTTCTATCATTGTTCACTTCATCTTTGAGAAATAATCATGGTAATTTATAAAAGGAATTCCTATTAGAGCATTTTTAATAACAGGTACCAAAATTGATTTTCATTGAATGCAGTCCATTTTACAAGATCAAAAGGTGAAAGATCAGTAAATATATACATGTATATTTTGCTTTTTTAGGTGGCAATTAAGAACAACATAGATGTGTTTTACTTCAGTTGTTTAGTTCCTATGCATGTATTGTTTGTGGAGGATGGAGAAATGGAAAAACGAGTATTTTTAGCAACATGGAAAGACATTCCAGCCCAAAATGAAGTCCAACATGAGATATCTAATGTTCAGCATAATGCAGGTATTTAAATATTGCATTTTTTCTGATATATATTAAAAAAAATAACAAAAATAAAAGGAAGATTAACTTGAAGATATCAAGGTTTGTTTCATTTTTATTTTTGGAGTATTCACTCTATGGTAATTGAAAGTAGATCCTTTTATCTGCTCACAGTATTCATGAAGGATCTAACAAGATGTGTAGCAATCTATTTGAGCTGATCCAGAGATTTGATTGTAGTGAGACTGTAGAATTTATCACATTTTGCCATATTTTAGTGCATGTACATCTACCTTTACTTTTCTGAAATTATATATGAAATATTTATGTTCTTTTATCAGATACCATATCACAGAAGTTAAAGAACAACAATGTATTTACGATAGCCAAACGAAATGTGGAAGGACAAGACATGTTGTACCAATCTCTCAAACTGACCAATGGAATCTGGGTACTGGCAGAATTAAAGATACAACCAAACAACCCAAATTTTATGGTGAGTTATGTAAAAATTCTTCAAAATGCTTTCAGCAGTTAGGGAACAACTTCATATCTAATATTGGAGCATACACTGTTCATATACAGTGAAACACGCTGAAAGCAAAGTGCTAGGGACATGCAATTTTGATTCGTTATAAACATAATTCATTATCACTGTTAGGATTACAATATATTTTAAAACTACGGGGATTGGAAATTGCTTTGCTGCAAGCGTGAATTCATTATGAGTGTATTCGTTATAACCATGTTTTACTGAATGTTAATCAAGGATTCATGATTCACAGTTTATTATACACCTGTTACCATTCCATTCTTGATGTTGTCCATTTCATAGAATGTGATCCAACTTTCTGGATCACCACTCTGTGTTTTCTGAAATCTGAATCCATATCACCATTCTCTGAAACATATTGTGACATTTTGCATAGAACACAGCTTTTTTTACCATAGGTACATCATAAATCCTTGAATTCATCTTTTTATCTATTAATTGACTTTGGTACAGGTTTTTAATGCAGAAAAATCAATGGTAACACTAACTAACATTTACAATTAGTTTTAAACATGAAAGCAATAATGTGTCTGATTATAGACTTTATGGTGTAAATACTGAATGATTGCATCAAAATGTAATGTAAAAAAAAAAAAAAAGATAAGTACATTCAAGTGGTACATTTCTGTGAAACTAACCCCCCTCCCCCCCCCCCCCCCCAAAAAAAAACTGGAAGGTATAAGCCAACTTGATCCAAAGAGTCGGATAACATGTTTTAGACAGGTTTAGATAATCTGATCAAAATTGATGCTTCGGACTCATTTGATGCACACCTGTCAACTAGAATGATCCAACTCTTTGTGAACTAGAGTGTACCTGTACATATGCATGTATATATGAAGATGGACGCTCACCCTTTGAGAGGCTAGAAAAGTAAGCTTAATAAAACAGAAATTGCAAACCTCATTGGTATTTGTGTTTATCTTTTCAGTTATCTCTAAAAGCAAGAGCAATGGATGTATACTCGGGAATACAGCAAGCTTTTGACACCATACTTCACAACTAAAGACTATACTGGAGAACATTTAATCTGAGGGCATGTTAATGTGCATTTATAAACCTCAACTTAGTACCTGTGCGCTTGGTGTTGTGATATTAAAAAGATATCTAATACTTCTGAGGACCTTGTCATTTTACTGAACATGTGCACTTGCTATTGTGGAAAGGAACAGACATAAACTTTTGTCATTATAAATTATGTGACTACTACTCACAATGAATTTTTATTGTAAAATGGAATTATATATACATATATAAATTATTTGAATATTCTGCATTGTTTGTTTGTTTGTGTTTGTGTTTTTTTTTTTTTTTTACATATTAATTGTGCATTGTTAAATTACCTTAATCAATCACTAACATAGGGGACCTGTTTCTGTTTCTTATTGTCATACATGTAAAACATTTGAACTGATGAAACCTATCGCCTTGCTATATCTTAATTAACTTTAAGGCCAAATAAAAAAATATGTGTGGTTCCGGTTACCCGACCGTCCCTATTTTATACCCCCGACCCTAAACTTTTTTTTGGCAATTTTCATATTTTTTCTGGAATTTTCCCCAATTTCCATCAATGGCTCCAGTTTAAGTTTTAGTTTCAGCAATGACGGCCCCCTTGCACAACATAGTGCAAGTGTTTATTAGTGATAAATCCAAAGCAAGCTAGCATGTAGGTGTCCCCTACCAATATTGACTAGTATATTATCACACCACATCTAAATGTCATTTGCAAAGTACTGATAAGTATTATTTAGAAAAATTAAGAAAGTCATTTTGTTTAAAAAAAAAAAAAAAAGAAAAGAAAAAGAAATCCCTACCTACCTACCCTAATTTTTTTGGAGGTGTAACCGGAACCACACATATTTTTTTGTTTGGCCTAATTTGTGTATCTTTAAATTGTAAGTTACAACAGTAAACATCCTTAGAGTGAAGTGCGAGGGCCCAACAATTTTGATTCATTAAATGCGTAATTCATTTTACCTCTCAAGTTCATAATGTTTTAAAAAATTAAGGAATGAAATTAACTTTGCTGTAAGCATGAATTCATTATAAGCAGTTTAAATTTGTTTTACTTTAGTAATGATATTGGTGTTCATTCTTGTCTGGAAGTTACCTAAAAATTCATGTTACCAACACAAAACTGCATGCATAAAAATAATCGAGCAATGAGCTTGTACCCTGATTGAAAATCCATGGCATTCAAGGAAAGAGATTGGATTTTATGGTTGGTTGATACATGTAATTTGAAAATGCAGTAGATTTTTAAAATTCTTTACTTCAGGACATGTAGCAGAAAAGTATGCTTGTTAATTATGAGCAATAAGCCATCTTTGTGAAATTCAAGTTAAGACCACTTTTACATTAAGCTGTACAAGAGAAGAGCCTTGTGAAATTCATGTCCTCTACTCCAGAGTTTGGTCCCAATCAGGGATGGGTCAATTACTTTTAAAAGTAATCGATTAAATTACAATTTAATACCTTGGAGTTTAAAAGTAATCAATTACAAGCTGATACAATGATATCTAGTTTACACTAAATTTTAAAGCAGGAAACAGTTCTACTTTGAAGAAAGAATGTATGAACAATGCCTATAGCTTCGTTATACAAATCAAATTCAATATGTGAACTACCAGTAGATATTTCGAGCACATTTTTTCTGAAATTATGATAAACAAAACTTTTCTTAGGAAAATTGTCTCTGAAAATATTCTTTAATAAAAAAAATTTATGTGTCATGAGTGTGATATGATATGCAGGTTTTAGATATATGTAAAAGTCCAAGGAGTCTGAAAACAACAATGGAAGGAAATGGCTCAAAAATAAAATATTGTATTCATATCTGGCTTCAGGAATATAATGAAGAAATAACTGGGCAATGACTGGACACTACATGTATATGGTCTGTATAGGAATTCTAGATTTATAAGTAAAAAGAAATGTTGACTTTGGCTCAGAAGAGCACGGACATGAATCACAATATTCAAATGTACAAAGTAACAGGTACATGATGTACACAAAAAAAAACACACATACACAATATTGTTATTTTAATTATTCACCATGAATATTTTTCCACAGAAGATACAACCACAAAAAATCTCTGTTTATGGTTTCCCAATCAACATTTTTTTTTCCAAATGTTAAATTTTCCCCAGTATTTGATATTTTCTGACTCCATAGCTCTACTGTTTTATACATTTTTAAATCAATTGAAAAAGTACAAAAAAGGTGGAAATCCTATACAGGTACATTTATTTTTGCCTAATCCAGCTTTCCATTATATGGAAACTCACTGTCCACATTAACTGGTACAGTTAAGCCTTATTAATCTGGACACCTGTATTCCCAAGAAAATCATCTGACCGGATAAACGAAGCATCTGGATTACTGAAACAAATCTTTTCTAATTGGTACATATAAATGTTAATTCTGTTCACCACATACATGTATTTCGTCCAGAATGTGAAACGTTGACATCCAAATTAATGAGACTCCACTGTATATCCATCATACTTGTAACATGGAAAATTTTTTTATGAACATTGTGTGCTTGCATTTATTATGGATTCTCCTATATGTATCTTTCATCTGAAATGTCTATATATCCACTAGCAGATACTTGTTAAGTTTCCAGTGAGGTACCAACTTCACTGACGTGTTCCCTGACAGTCCTGTCCAGCACTCCGTACACATCTTTACAGCCTTTCACGGCCATGTCCACCACTTTACTCAAATTATCTTCATGAAGACGGCCATTCATCTCGAGAAAAACAATCTGTTCCGACTTAGGAAGAACAGCCACTATAATTTCGGGACTTCCCGAAGATTCCTCTAAATAATTAATGTCAACAATTGGACTGTCACCTAGATAACTTGCTGAGCAAGCACAGACATAGTCTTTCATGGGGATTCCAGCATCAATTACAGCTAGCGTAGCAGCATTCACACTGGCACAATAATTCCCTCCATCAGACTGTAGTACCTTAAGTATTGTACAGTTGAAATATTAAAATCATAAAAGTTTTTATATCCATTTTATTATTAAAGTTTTTCATTGTACAAGATCTATTTATTATCCAGGAAAATATTCTTACCTCAACAAAGATATCAATTTGAGATCTGGGATGGAGATTGGTTAAGATAGCAGCATTGAATGTTTGCTGTAGATGCATTGTCATTTCTTGAGATTTTCGATCCCCTCTTGGTCGTCTTTTACGTTCACTTGTGCTGAATGTTGCCATACTGAATTGACAGTTGACAAGTACTTTATCCTGCAGAAGTTTACCTCGACTTCCTCGAATCTATGGAAAAGGTATAAGAGGTCATTTGATTTTCAATTACAGCCAAATTTACAGAACAATAGTTAATCAAAGAAGTAAACTACATGTGTAACTATATACAAAAGTTCCATCCACAAAAGAATACAAAATATTTTTTTAAGGACCCTCTCTACACTTAGGCAAAATGCTTATATTGTATAAAGGTGTAAATATTGAGCTAATCAATTTAATTTTCAATATAAGGTACCTGACATTTATCCCCAGGAAAAATGTTTAAAGACAATGAAGTATAGATGAACAGAAGTCACTTTTGTTAACTCAAATGGAGAAAATTCAATCAATTAAAGAATTTAATTAATTTTTCTTGGCATATTAAAATGTTATGGTAATTAGCTTGAATAGAATACAAATTGAGCAATACACTGTAGACTTCACCTTATTTTATTTTACATCTTTCAGGGACCTATATACTAACGGAATAGGCAACTCCTTCAGCTCCATGTTTACCTGGTATTTACCCAAAACTTCACATACACCACCTTAAGTTTTTCAAACTACGTTTTTTCTCAAGAAAAAGGTTGTTTTCTGATTGATATAATCTGTTCTTTTTATGGCTGTATCAATATATCTATACGTGTCGATATTTATGAATGTATCATATCGAAAAAATGACTTCCAATATGTATCGGACAGGCAGATTTTCTCATAATTTTGTAAAAAAGTTTTGAATTTCAATCACCAAAGGCTATATTTTCACTGTTTTGAATTAAATTTGATCAATAATTATATAATCATTCAGGAGATAGCACATCTTAGATAAATACATGTATTACAAAATACATAAACAACTTTATTTTAACATGTTGTTTTACAGTCATGAAAAGTTTGAATTTGAAGTGAAATTTGTAGAGACAGTGAGAGAAGACCTTCGGAATGGATTATAAAACAATTAGTTTTTATAAAATTCATGCATTAAATGATTTATAAGACTTTTTTGATAGACTTGTTAAAGAATCCAATATATCGGATATCGCATTGCAAAATATTGTATCATATCGTATCAATTCTTTTGCTCAGTACCAGAATACACAGCCCTAGTTCTTTTTGTGCATCAGAATGGACTTTTAATAAATTTTAAAGCACACAATAATTATAGAATAATTTAAATATTAAGTAAACAACCACGAAAATCGGCAAATTCTTGGAAATATGGCCTATCAGGGGCATGCACTGATTTTTTAAATAAACATAATTACTACTAACATAAGGAGTAAAAACAGTGCTAACAAATAACAAATCTTGAATAATTTTTTGATAGATACATTAAGGTTTTATTCTGAAATATTTGATAGCAAAAGAGACATTTAATTAAAACTGACTTACTTAGTGCATAGAGGGTTATTAAGTCTAAGATTCCTACCTCAAAATAAAGCAGACATTGAGGACCTTAATTTACCTACATAATTCTACAATATTCAGCTTTAATAAAATCTGCATTCATAGAAAATTGAATTGGTGTAAATTTCATAGTGTTCTTGTTCTATTGAAAAGTGGGCTCTTGTGAGTGGTGATTAAAATTAAAATTTAAAGTAAACTAATGAAAAACTTAACATTTTCTACTCATAGAAAGTTTTTTTGTGTGTTCTTATTACTGACTTGCATACACTTTTATCCTGGAAGAGTATAAATAAGAGTACAGAACGTGTTATGTATCCCAAACAGGTTATTACATAGGGATGTGCGATTTTACAGGTATATCATGATTTTTAATTGCGTGATACATATCGTAATACGGAGACTAAGATACCAGTATTTAGGTACATAGTTAAGAATTCAAGAAATTATTCATTTATTTGTTCAATCTTTCAAATTACAATTACAGGAAGTGTAAAAAGTGTTGAAAATGGTAAAAGAACAGCATCCTAGCATCCAAAATAGCTTGATATTATGTACGAGGGGTGATCAAAAAGTTGGGGAACTAACTGAATTGCTTACATAAAAGAAATAAAATAAGGTTTCAGTGTTTATTATTTTTTAAAGTAGTCCTCTCCGATTTTAATGTACATCTGACACCATTCTGCCCATGCGCGAATCACGTGATCCAGGTGGTCACGTGACATACTCCATAGCGTTCTGCAGTGTTCACAGAAACTTCAAGATTTTTCCGAGTCTTATATTTCTTACCATGAAAGTTATTTTTTATAACAAGAATAGTCCATTTGTCAGAAATGGCTAAATCTCGACAATAAGATGGATGGATATAAGGATATCCTTTCCCAGAATGAGCATGGTGACCATCAAAACCTGTGTCCTCTGTCTTGGGAGCATCGTTTATCCAATGTGGATAAAGCATAGGCGCCTTCTTTATATCATATCTGATATGTTTAAATCTTAAAGTAAACAATATTTTAGGGATTTAATAACTATATTTTTGTTAAGATATTCAACTATTTTTCTAACTGTAACTTGGCGATCTTTCATAACAAATTGCTCAACTATGGATACATCTCTCCACCAGCTTGCATTCACTGGGCAACAGAACAAACATCTTTTTAACATCTCCCTTCCTTCAATAAAACAATCAATCCAACTGATGATTGAACTTCTGGCAAGTATTTGGTCTTCATAAATCTTGTACAAATTATTATATGTTACTGCAAAGGAATTTCCTAGATATATGGAAAACTTTACAGCCGTTCGTTGCTCGAGTACAACTGAGTCAACCATTTTTTGTCACAAGTCATCTACATATAGACGTCATTTTCACATTGTGACATCACAAACACGGAGCAAAACATCACATAACATCTGCTATTTATAGAACATTTGTATAAGTATATGTGTGGCAAATTTCATTCTGATGTGAATTGTGGTTTTTTAAATATAGAGATAGTTTGCGAACTTTTCGATAACCCCTCGTAAATAAAAAAAAATGAGAAGAGTGAAGTTATGTTTTTCCAGCATATTTTTAGGAAAAAATAATCATTTGATGAATATTCATTTAAATTTATTGTTAAAATTGCTGGTAAAAATATCATGATATTATCATATTTTGGGAAAAAAATCATGATATATTGCGATACGAAATTTTTGGCGATACCCATCACTATTATTACATGTATATCACATTCACCTGACCTGTTCTGGTCAGAGTTCTATAAGAATTCTACAGGGTTTTCCTTTTTAAAAAAATACATGTGTTTAAGAACTGGTTCATTTTTCAACTTTTAGAGCAAAGTGGACTGCAAACTTTGGGGACATAAATAAGTCATAATCAGTCTACATCATACATATATGTATAAAGAATGACTAATTGTGAATCTTTATTTTTTATTATTAGCATGTCTATTGTCATGTGCAAGTACATGTATTATTATTTATTGTCTTTGTCTTGACCTGTTGTACAAGGAGAGAGTGTGCATAGGCTTTGCCTGCATGTTGCCCAATCCTTATTGATTTGTTCGACAAGAAAATATGTTTAAAGCACAGGCATTTGGATCGCTTAAATCCGACTTTAAAAATTGGGGTGTTTAAAAAAGATAAAGGTATGGAACTCCTTACATAGGGTACCCACTTTCGCTAATAAAATACTTTTAAATCGAATGCTCTGAAGTTTTGCTTACTATTCATTTGTATTCATATATAATCATTACACTACATTACTAACCAAAGTTCATTCCGAAATTCCGTGTACTTCCCTAGATATGGTGAAATCAATTCCAAAATTCACCTACTTTTTTTTTTAATCGACATTAGCTTGGGCCTTTGATATTCACATGTATACAGACGGTATTTGAACAGCAGCGAACAGCTGCGTAGTATTTGCACAATCTTTCAACATTTTAAAGTTGATTTTGTACTCCAGATCGAAAGGTTAACTCAAGTCAGTAATAATTCTATTCGCGAAAATTTTTTTTAAAAAATGTTTGCTTCAACAACTTCACAGCCATGTTGTTTATTAATGTAAAAAGAACTATGATTGAACGAAATTTTCCCGGAATGTATAATATACCTTTTAATTTTTAAAAATTGTACCGCTAAAATGTTGGTGGTTACTTAGTAAGACCATATGATCAAATCAGATAAAATTTTGTAGAGACTGAGTGCTAATAAACCAGGGTTGGCAAAAAACTGGGAAATACTCATATTTCCCAGGACGGTGGGAAATACTGGTAATTACCGGGAATTACTGGTATTTCCCGGGAAATACTGGGAAATAAGAAATAGCTACATATTTCATTCATATTGACATGTAGTACACCTTATTGGCTAAGACATCCACCTGGTATCACTGTCCCTGATTTAAAAAAAAATTCTGGTTTCCAAGTAATTCATTTTATATAATCATAGTATATTCATATACCAGTATTGAGTGTCATTTGTTTCATACTTGAGTCAGATGTAATCTAAATTAAAAGGTCCATGAAATGAACCCATTAAGATCCCATTTAGGTTTTTTATGTAACTAAAGAAGGATCTAAGAAAATTCTTAAATGTAGAGCATGGCATAAATATCAAACCTAAGAGCATGAAGAAGAAGCCTTTCAGTTCTACTCAAGGTAATTATCTCTCAAAACAGGAGCACAAAACTGTCCATAGCAATTTGTTAAAACAACATGATTGTTTGTAATAACTACAGTGTTTATAAAAGGATTATAACAAGTTTTTTTGGTTCTTGAATTTATAATTAATAAACTTAATAATTTTACAAAAATGAAAAGAAACTTGAATTGGAAAACTTCAGTTTTATACAGCCAGGGAAATGTTTCAGAATGCTTATGGGTATGCGACCTGGAGTAGTGATACATACTGAATATGTTAAATTGCAATTAAGATATATTCCTTATTATTCATCTTCTGTTTTTATGTTTATTTTATTTTTGAATTTTGTATAAGATTGAATGAATTAAAGAAATAAAAAAAAACTTAAACTTTGTATTTCCCAGTTAGAGAAAATTTTTAGTATTTCCCGGGACGGGAAATACCGGTATTTACCACTGGTAATTCCCATCACTGGTATTTCCTGGCCAACCCTGTAATAAACAAATATTCAGAGAGTATAGAACAAATTCCAGGAAGAATTTGTCCCGTCGTTCCCGCTTTACAATTAGTGTTACTATTCAGAGGCCCAAGCTAATGTCGAGTAAAAAATAAGGTCAATTTTTGAATATGATTTCAGCATATCTCGGGAAGTATATGGAATTTTGGGAAGAACTTTGGTAGTAACGTAGAATGTTTATATGTGAATAGTTATGAATAGAAAGTAAAGTTTTAGAACATTTGATTTAAAAGTATTTTATTGGCGAATGTGTGTACCCTATGTAAGGAGTTCCATACCATTATTTTTTTTAAAACCTTATTTTTTTTTTAAAGCGATCTAAGGGCCTGTGGTTTAAAGTAAAGAATATATGGCTAAAATGAATATCACCTCATGAGGTCCGTAAACAGCAGCTAAAACTTTAGTATTTCCCTGTTCTACGTATGCTGAACCATCGGCTTGACTAAAAACTCCTAGCTTACATTGAATTTTGCGTAATTCATGCGCCCTTCTTCCATCTATTCGGAATCCTTGATCTGAGAGCAGCTCCAAGCCAGCCATGCTTGCTTGAAATCGCAACGGGAAATCATTCTCTCACGCTAAAATGAAAATGGACAGATTGGATACGGATGGAAATAAAGAATCCGAAAAACATGTTGTGAGCAAATTTCAGTTTAAAGGGGGTTGGGGGGGGGGGGGGGAACTAAACATTTTCAGTTTGGTTGTGTGTGTGTGGAAGGGGGGGGGGGGTAAACCAAGTAAAAATCTTGACGAACAACAAACAATCCGCACCCCACCCACCTCAGTTCCTACTGCCATGTACACGTTAAATTCCGAATAAATTATTAAGGTCTTCCGTTTCCAACGGAAGACCTTCTACTGATTCTGATGGTTAAGATTATTAAGGTCTTCCGTTTCCAACGGAAGACCTTCTACTGATTGTGATGATTAAGATTATTCTTTTTTTTTTTTTTCCTAGACGCCAACTTTGACGCTTCATATCTTCCTCATTTTTAAACAGATTTTGTTCAAATTTTCAGAGCTTTTAGACTTTACAAAACACTGTCAGAATACCGTAATACAATTCGGAAATTACCTTCTGTTCACGAGTTATTCCCCTTTGATTGAATTTTGCATGCCTCCCATTTCCAGACAAAGGCTCAGAAATGGTTATAATTGGAGCACAAAACCCTTTGAAATTGAAAAGAGGAAGCATTGAAGTTGTGCACATCGGTTTTTGTTTTTTGATTTTTGCATTAAAAATGGCGCTAGAGAGGGGTCAAAAGTTAGAACGCGGAAAACAGCAAAAAATTTGACATATTTTCCTTTATATCTTGAAAACTAGAAATATTTTGTTAAGACATGTAGAACAAAAGTTGCGCATAATTGCAAGGGCTTTCATATTATACTATTTAAAAGGGGCTGGCCCCTATGATTAGGGATCTTGGGCCCTTAAAAGTTTTTGCTTTATAACTCAAAAACGGTAAATATTTCGATCTGGATCTTGGGAACAAAATTGTTCTTTTACACCTTTTTGATCTAATGAAAATGTTGTTTTTGTTCGAGTATACCATGGGTATTGCGTAATACGTATTAGAAAGCAGGCCAGGTAAACAGGTAACGTTTTTCATTCGGCAAGGAAATTAGACCTCTTCATGTGTATAACTTAAACAGACTTGCTATCAATAATATACCCTGCGGTATTTAATGTTAATTTTCTTTTTAATAAGGTTTAAAACGTGGTTTATGGTTCACTATTAAATTATTTATTACAACTAGTCTTTCTTTTCTTCTTTTTTAAATTAGGTTAATAGTGTTCAAAAGCGGAGAATATTAAATCTATCTTTCTACGTTTATTATTACAACAAACTTTGTAAGTGATTTTAAACTGTATGCATTGAATAATTCACGATCATTAGCTGTATGCATATTACGGTCTCCATGTTCAGCTCGATGTTTAGTTATGTAACCCAACGCGCGAATCCCACGCTGTTGATCGAGGTCACCAGTGTACTAGCCACCTGTGACCATAAACAAAGCTAGTATTTGTGATCGCGTATAATGTCAATTTTGTACAAAGAGCTATTAATTAATGGAAAGTTATGTTTTTAATTATATCGAATCAGTAAGATTACTTTACCGATCTTTTATAATCTTAATTCCAAACACTGGTGCATAAAAATCATTTTGAATTTTAATCGCTGTTTTTGTCTGTTCACGCAACAATACATTTAAAAAAAGTATTGCTCTATCCCGTGTTGTTGTATTTTAATTCATCTGCAATTGTAATTGAATGGGGGCTTCGGTAAATAATTGTAATTACTACGCATGCTACGCACATATTATTTTTACCACCACTCTTGTGAATGTCCATTTATTATTTATAGAATTAAATAAACATTAACATAAATAAAAATTCCTTCAAATATACATGTACTATAATTCAAGTCTTTGTAATATAGCAAACAGTTTCATCCGTCTCTGCCGCTTTGTGTCTTTAAGTGTTGTAGTCCAGTCCTCGTTTACATACACGTGGCCACAGAGAGCCGCGGGCACCTCGATGTTGAAATACATTGTTGCTCTGCACCGCACAAACAACTAGCATGTACATGCAGTGTAGTAATTGGCAAAGATTGTTTGAAAAATATAAACTCGCATGTGTTCGCTACGAAGCATTCATTTTAAAATTTTATTTACATGTAAATACCTTATAAGAACAAAATAAAGTAAATGTATAACGCCTAGAACAATGTTTAAAAATTAAAATACAAATATCGTGTGCTCGGAAGGGAAGATGGCTTGAAAGGGTGTGTCTGTGAATGCTTAGATCTAGCAAAACACTTCGCATAAGTTAAGCATACTTGTGTCCAAATCCTTTAAAAGTGGGGGCAATCCCTAATCCTCGCACCCTTTCTTTTTGAATCTAAAAATATATACCATACTGAGAGTTGTATATAGAGCGGGAATGTTATTTTATTAGTCCTTAAAGGCACAACTTAAGAAATGACTTATAAATTTTTTTTTAGATAAGATTGTTTCGTGATACAGCTGTGATAAATCTTAGAAACTTCTAAAGTTATAACTTAGGCATATCTTAAGATAACTTAGGAAACGTTTTTGAAACAGGCATGTCAAGCATTCAGTCAGATCTATTACGACGTCCATATTACCATATAAGAGAATGAAATTTTGTTTTGTATATAAAGTGGTTATTACAAATATGCGTGTTACAAAAATGTATGTTGAAATCTTCAAAAGCTATCGAATTATTTGCATACGTGTACTCGTACATATGAACATTGATCAACACTGATCAAGTGTATACCGGGACCCGGGATAGTCTTATTATAGCTCTTGCTTTGTCAAATCATTACTTTCATACCCCTTGCATTTAAGAAAAACAATGTTATAAAAAAAATAATAATCTGACATATAACAAGTATACATGTAGCGTGTGCAATTTATTTGGCTAGGGGCATGTACACACGTGGTTCGAAACTGTAGGGGGCTACAAATGCGGCCATAACTAGTATATTTTTGAGGTGTTATAAAAAACAAATAATACTCACAAAAGCTTATAAAATTGCCGTTCTATCGATACCTTATATGCCATGTTTCATCCACCAACAACGCCACGACATCGATGAGAAATACGTTTCTACACGGGCATTTTCTTCGAAAAGGATAGGAAGTTAATGAATTAAAATAATTAATTCTTTTAGTTAACGCATTATGTTTACCTCTTTATTTGTTGTATGCAATAAGTATAGACCTTACTAATAATGACTGTTTGGTTGTCACACCTGTGCATGTGTCGTGCGAGGTACAGCGGTAAGGTAAATTACCGAGAGTCGCGATGTGCGGGGTGATTCGGAATACCCTAAATGACGGTGGTCCATTGAATTTCTACTAGTAAATCAACCTGTCAAATCTAACATGGGCCCACATAATACGACTAAATTCGTTTCATGAATGAACTGGTTCTTAACAAATATATGTATAGTATACAATATCTTTTCTTTAGATCTGTTTGTTTATTATTTTCAACCACAATCTGCAGTACATGTATAGTTACACGAAATCCATGCACAACGGCGCTACACCTGTCAATCAAAATCACTCGATATTGTGAACTCAGTCTGGTGTTACGGCAGCATTTCCGAAGTGATTCAAAATATTCTATCGGCTAATTCTAATTTTTCGCGTTGAATAATAATATTTTGGAACAAAGTTGGAATTAAGGCTGGAGCTGCATGCTGTGAATTTATCACACCTGCAGTCTGCAGTCTTCCCTTCTTACATGTATATGAAGCATCTGTTGAGTAATGAATCAGAGAGCATAATATGCGGAACAAGTTTGATTGAGATTTTTACTTTTCCTTTAAGATAAAATGATTAATAACATAATTTATGCATCTTATAGATACATATAAATGTACATGTATAGCTTTTTAAAAACAAGAATCTGTAATTGAAAATGTGAAAGTGAAGAGTTTAGGTAATAGTTCTTAACCAAAATTTAATGACAGTTCATTCCTTCCTAGTCTCTATATAACTTTTAATTACGGCCGTGCCCTCTCCCCTTCAAAAGATGTCTAATACATGCTTTTAAATTCTGTTTATTTATCAAGAAATTTCCACAGGTACTTGTGGACAGGATCCCCCCCCCCAAATTCAACCCCAATGTTTGTTGGACATTTTTTTCCACAAATTATATTTATTACACTTATTCATCATGTGTACCATAGGAAAAAATCGAGTACAAGTACCTGTGGAAATTTCTATTTGCCCCCCCCCCCCTTCCCAAAAAACTGTAATTGTTTTCTACGGGCTTGACAACAGGTACTTGTGGACAGACCCCACAAATTATATTTATTGCACTTACTCATCATGTGTACCATATGAAAAAATCGTGAAAACCCCAAAATAATCGTTCCACACAAAAAATGCCTCACTATGTATAGTTAAAACATTAATTTTTCATATTTCTTGATGAAATTAACATTAATAAAATCAACACAAAATTAATACCGTATTACATATCACTTGAATTTATCATAAAGCAGAAAATCTGTTCTGCGGGCTTCAAGGCCAGCTCAGGAACCTAAAGATGTCCTCATTTTCCAAGTCCAGTACAGAACGTAAATTAAATGAAATAAATCACACGATCACTGTGAAGAACTCAAAGAAAGAAGACTCTTGAGGAAAAGATATTTTGATTCGACTTATAGACTGAAATAAACCGATATTCTCTTTTTGCCACTCTTTCCTGGTGCCCTGGGACTCTGAATGTAGGATCAGTATTTTTCTCACAGGTCCGTTGTACGGATTGTACGGGGGGGGGGGGGGGCAGACCTTCTGAAAATAGTCTTTTGTTGTAGTTTTAATATGTAAATTTTGATTTAGTTGCTGCTTGCACCCTCCCCACTCTTTGTTTCTCTACGATCATACATAGGCGAATCCCAGCAAAAATGTAATGACCCCCCCCCCTCCAACACACACTTTTTTTTAAATGTGTATTGCGATAGGACTTAAAATTGGAAAACATTTTCTGTATATCTCTACATCGAAAAATATAAAATA